GCCAAAATGGATATTCTCAGATCAGATATCTGAATTTGCTAAATATAGGGAAAGAAGGCAGAACTAAAAGAAACACAACTTCTCTTCCGTGGGGTATCTTCAAATATTTCGGAAATATTGTCCTAATTTTTATTCTCTCAGTCCGTTATCTACTCCATTAAAAAAAAACAAAAAACCTGAAGCAAAGTGGATGCTTTCAGATAGAAATTATAAGGAAGGAAGAAAAGGATAAAATTTGTATGAGTGGAAAGAGGGCCAACATCTGACACTTTATTCCCCTCTAAATGTATTTAGCATAATTTCAATGCAAAAAGTGGAGATGAGGGGAGATTGTCCAAATGGTGGGTCCTTTAAAAATCTAGGACCGTCTCTCTGGTAAAATGGCGTCTTTCTAAGTCCTGCCTCTTTCTTAGTGATGAGGAAAAAGCCATAAATCCGTTGTTGTTTATGAAAATTTACAACTTTGCAATACAACTTTACGAGTGATTCGGGTTCTCTATTGGTTGTCGGCGGTCATGTGGGTGGTAATCGTGAACATGAACTTTTTTATAATTTCCCTGGCAAGAATAGAGCTGCATTCTTTTGCTCTGCTCTGTCCTGCTTCGGATCTCTCTGCCTTTTCAGCCCCACCCCCCACCCCTTTCAACCACCCACCCGGGTTTTCATATGTCCTTTGTAAGTCAAAAGGGAGTCGAGTGGATGGAGACTGGGTACGGGCAGTCGCCTCGAACGCAGGTCTGGAATGGCATTTTCCAGCTCCTTTGCCGGAAGGTGTGGCATCTTGGATTCAAAGCTGTAGGGTGGCAGATTTTCAACTCTCAACCTGGCTAATTTCCTGCTTCTTCTGGCACCGAAAGGAAGGCCATTCGTCTCCACGGCAGGCAAAGCGGCAGCTGTCAAAGTAGCCGGGGCTCCTGCCAGCCAGGACCTACAAGGTGAGAAACGCAGAGGAGAGCGTGAGCAAGCAGACCCAGTTAGTTACACGAAGCAGCCTTGCGTGCTGTCCGAGCCTCTCTTAGCTCGAGAGGAGGTCGATTTGCCTAAGAGTGAGAATGAACCAATGCAACCCGGAGCTTCCGGGGAGCTTGCCTAGCGCATACAAATCAGCGTCGGGCTCCAAGTGTCATCCTGACACTATCCTGTTCCATTGGCTGCGTTCAAATGCTGCCTTTGGAAAGCATGCTGGGTTTCCAGAAACCTTCGTTGAACGGCTTCATTCGTAGAAAGAAAGCCGGATTTGGAAAATCCAAAAAAGGTGCTGTGTAAATCTATGAGGGCTGATTTGGTCCTTGCAAAGATATAATTTGCGGTGGAAGCTATTAAGAGGTTGCGTTTATTTTGACTTGTCTGTGAGGAATATAAATAAATTGGTGGACGGAGGCGGGTCCTCACGTGTTTATAATTTTAGATGGCGATTTAATTCCGGTGATGCCTTTATAGACAAGACCTGGACTCAATAGTGTGGTGTTGCTAACGTGTATGGTTGAAAGGCAGGAACATATGACAGTGCTTTAAAAACCCGTTTCCTTTGTTGTTGTTATTGTTTTGTTTTGTCATTAGTGATGGGGTGACGGGGTCGTGAGAGGGATTAAATGCTTCAAGGAATCTTTTCGGTTATTGCTTATTGGGGGGGAAAAAGTGTAAATTCTCTTAATAATTGGAATAGGTAAGATCTGAGCGTTTTATGCAATATTTTCATAGAGGCAATTGTGCATGGTTTACCCAAATCGAGGTTGTTTCTATATGTAGAAACAGGAAATAGGAAAATATTTCTGATTATACGCCTGAAATGTGTCCCTGTTCTTGTATTTATCCCCGCCGTTGAGGATGATCGGCGATTTTCTTAAATATTACAAAAATAGGTTTTCAGCCCCCTCCCAATCCATTCTCCGAGTTGATAAAGAATTACGTGTATATTACATTGCAGTATCCGCTTGACTGCAGCTGCAATGAATGTCGGATTATTTATCGGCAAGAGAACGTTACTCAGTACTGCCACTGTGTGGCCCTTAAAGGTACTAGGCGCGGAGAGAGTCGGGAGCAGCCACCAGGTACATAAATAAATAATTAAAAGAGAGCCGACAAATAAATCACGACTGAATGGGTTGCTTATCGTTGGTGGAGGAGATCCGCACGCGGAGATGTTGGTCCCCTTTCCCAGGCGATTTCTGTATTTTAAGTCTTCGCAGGGAAAGGCCGAAGGACCCCTGAAAAATATGATTGCGCTAATTCTAGCAGGCCGACCTAGAGACTTTTATCCGGGGTGTTCCCAATATACTTCCCACCTTAAACAATGCCTCGAGCGGGGAGATCTCTTTGGGTTAGATTTGTTAGCTAAATCTCGCTTCTCCGTTACTTCCGTTAACATAAGAATGTGCAAGTGGATTTGTACCTTCACAGAAAAGGAGTTTTTAAACTGAAATAGAGCTAGAGCCCTTTTCGCCCACCACCTATGTTCCAACTTTGTTTGACTTATGGCTTGGATTGAATGAAAGGAGGGGGAGCGGGGTAGTGGGGGCCCCTCATTGTTTAAATGGTAGTCACACGTTTTAAATCAATGAAGTTGCTATTTGAAAGAGTTCTAAAGTCTGACCTGCTTTCCTGTGTGTTTTCCAAGGGCCCTGCCAAGTTATTTACCTTGCTTCTTCATTAAGAAAGTATCTCAGAGAATGTGTCTGGATTCCTCTGGGAAGGTGCAGACTTTGGCAAAACTTCTGTTTAACAGATGTGTGTCTCCAAATGTCTAGATGGAAGGGAGGGATGGAGGGGAGGGATGTACTCCTAGTACAGTTTCATTTCCTCGACAACAGCCATTTTTTTCTCCTGTAATTTGCTCTAGTTGTTGTTCAGAAATTATATATAGATATTATCGCTTCTGTGTAGAATTATGTTTACTGTGGGTGTAAGACTTCACGAAGAATTCCCTGTTTGTTCCATTAAATTTACAAATAATTACATTTTTCCTAGCTATATTTTTGTAAAATTGTAGAAGTTGGCAAGTAACGAACAGGAACCAATACTGAGCTATAAGTAGATAAATTTACAGCTTAGCAAATACGTTATTCTGTTTATAGAAATCTTTGGTTCTATGTATGCTGAATATATGCTGAATTCATTTTGATATAGTAACGACTATTCTCCACTATTTTCTCCAACAACCTAAAATTTGTATCTATAGATCTTGACTTAGCAAGGGTGAATGAGGTGTGTGGGTGGGAAATCCATCCCTGGAAGGCTTAATGGAAACTCCATTAAGGGCCAAAATAAAGCTGGCAACTAAAAAGGTGGTGATGGTGACAGCAGCTATTTTAACTTACTGCTGTTTTAGAGATATCCTAATTGGAGTCAAGAAATTAAAAAGAACAGCCAAACTGGCCAAAGGCCTTACGGTTTTCAAGCCAACAAAGTAGCCGTGTAGAAAATAGAACATCTGAGAAAGGACAGAAATAATTAGCACAGGAAGATACTTGGCTTTAATCTTAATCATATTTCCTAGGAGATAAGGCTGAGTTGATTCAACAGAAATAATTTCAGAGGTTGCCAGCCTCCTTGTGAAAGTCCCCCCTTTCTTTCAAGGTTTCTTATTCCCTTAATAGTTTTGTAACTTCAAGCCTAATTATTTTCCCATTGTATTTTGAAATTACTGTCAAGTTTGAAGATTTCAAAAGTGTGCATCTGCTGATACTTCTTTCTTTCTTTCTTTCTTTCTTTCTTTCTTTCTTTCTTTCTTTCTCTTCTAATTTGGTTTTATTGGTCTTGTCTCAAGATGGGGTGACTTAATTGCTCCCCACCTTCATGCTAGATTCATTATAACAACAGACTGAAGTTACAAAGGTATCGTTTGAGGAGTTAAAAGACTAACAACAGGGGGAAATTTTTATTGGAATAATTTCCTCTCTTCAAAGCAGCAGCTAACATCCTCAGAGAGGTTTCCTTTGAATACCCCCACTGACAACAAATAAAGAGCGTCAGCAACAACAATTGTGTCAGAGAATCGCAGTTTCCTGTTCGCTTCAGAGCTGAGGATTAAATTAACTGCATTATATTGTGTGGATCATCTTGAACAGAAAGGATTTGGGGGTATATTTTTTAGCCACTCCTGAGGATGTGGATGCATCATACACTCTCTCAGCCACGTATTCTATTCATTAGAAACAGGGAAGGGAAATCGTGCAAATAGGTTGGATTTCAGTTGCCCAAGTATGTTGTGCTGGAAAATATTCCACGTGCTTTGGGCATCCTCGTTTTATTCAGGCATGAAGGGAACCGGTTCACTGAGACCGAATCTCTTGTTCGCCAGTATGTTTCTAAACCGGCAGATTCTCCCTTTTGGAGACGGTTGTGAAGTCCCCACTTTTAAGCATTTCATAAACACCGCCTCTACGCTACGCGGTTTCTTTGCTTTCGTCTCTGCGGCTGGGTTGAGGGTGAATGAACCGGTGGGTTGGTGCATGCTTCTCCTGGATAGCCTACGGTTTTTGCAAGATAAGTTTTCGGGAGTGCCTTTTTGCTGCAAGCAGCCAGGTATCCGTCGCTGGGAGTTTCTCCCTGGCGTCATTCATTCATTTAGGTGGGAATACCCCGCTCGACTTATAGACTGACGAGCACCCGTTTCCTCCCCGGGGGTGTTACCCGAGTGCAATGCCTCCCCGAACCCCTTTCTCCGTGTTGGCACCGAGAGCGCCCGGTGGCCAGTTGCCATCTGGAAGGCTTGGCGGCGGTGGCGGTGGCGGCGGCGGAGGTGTGTGCATGTGTGCGCGTCGGGAGGGGGGGGAAGGAGGGGGTTGTTTGCAACTTTGCTGGCTCGGTAGCGGCGGGTCCCAGGGGAGAAGGCCGTCCGCCGCTCGCTCATTGGTCGCCGTGCCGTCAGCTGGTGCGATTTGCTGCTGTCGCTTTTGGCGCTCGGCCATCCAGAAACAAACCACTCGTATGACTACTAATAGTTATAGCCAGATGTACTAATACACAACAAATCAAGGTCCGGGATCTTGGGAGCGTCCATGAGTTCCTATTTCGTGAATCCTGCTTTCCCGGGAAGCTTGTCGAATGGACAAGAGCCCTTTCTGGGGCAGATCCCCCTCTATCACCCCGCGGCTGGCTACGAGGCTCTAAGGCACTTCCCGGCTTCTTATGGGGCCGGCAGCCTGCAGGAGAAGCCCTATTCCTCCCCTAGCTTCTTCCAACAGTCCAGCCCCAACACGGTCATCGCCTGCAACCGGGCAGCCTTTGATTATGGAGCCTCTTGCTTCTACTCGGACAAGGACCTGGGCGGTGCCTCCTCGCCCTCCGGCAATGGCAAACCAAGGGCCAGCAACACCGGGGATTATTTGCCCTGCTTTGCCTCTGACCAGCAGTACAAGCCCGAAAACGGGGCAGCCAAGATCTTAAACGAGGAAAACAGCGACCGGAAGTACACCAGCCCTGTTTACCCTTGGATGCAAAGGATGAATTCGTGTGCTGGTAAGTCATAAAAGGTAACCATAAATAGGGAAGTGGGCTGCAGTGGTGATGACTGAGGGGAGCTTCCATTCTCTCTTTCTTTCTTGGGAAGAAATGTCCCTTTCAGATGGGCCATCTTCAGACTCTCTAGGATGGGTAGAGGAGGTTCAAAGCCCAGGGAATAACCTGAGACTCTTTCTCAAGTTCTCCTTCAACCTGACAGGTGGAGGGACTACCTTGACAAGGAAATGCCTTTTGAAGGCTGAGTCAGCACAGGAAGCCTGCCTTGGCATTTTCACATACCTGGAAGCAAATCTTAAGGAAATAACTATTAACACTCTTCCAAAAAAAAAAAAAAATCAATATTTTCTTAAGAACTGGAGGGCTGATGTTGCTAAACTGCTCACCATCATCTTCATCATCATCATCATCATTGTTACCAGAGAAGCTTCTATCAGAGCCGCAGAGTGATACAAGAGAAGAGTTCTGACTGCTCCATATATTTGTGAGAGTTCTACTCACCCTCCCTTCACCCACTCATTAGTGTATAAGAATGAGCTATTGAATACACGTTCCTAGTAATATCTACCACGCACACAAATCATCTAATGGAGTGGAGGGGGTGGGAGGAAAGAAAACTTGATCAATGGCCACCCCCACTACCATTTCAGTGTATCAGAATGTCATTCTTTGTTCTTCTACCAGAGGAATTAGAAAGTCTAAGGAGATTTTAACAGGGAAGCATTAAAATCAAAAGCTTTTGGAAAGTTTCAGTCTATTCTCATCAAAGCATTAATTACCTTCCTTTAAAGCAGCATATTGTAATTTAATTTACCTCTATATTCTATTTATATTCTACTTTCTTAAAAAAAAGAAAAAGAAACCACTTGCTTCAAAATAGATTTTATCAAATTTATTGGGACTTGGAAATAAATCTATTTAGGTGCTGGTGTCAGTTGACTGAACTTAACGGGAGAATGCTAAGCCAAGAAGAATATTAAACCTTCAAATTTCATGTACTTAAAATGGGAAAGAATTAACAAATAGGATTGCTAATTCCTTCCTTTCGAAATCAGTGTGACTAAAAATTATTCCAATTCAGTTGCACCAAGTCAAAATCCTCTTGCAGGTCTGGACATAAAACATAATATCAAAGCAACTCTCCTGTTATACCAGGGCCTATTCATGTATTATCCAAGGGGAATGGCTACGTTGAAAACGATCTCCCTGTTATTAAAAAGGAATGCTTCTACTCCCCTCAAATCCCAAAATTTAAATAAAATTAAAAGATAACTTCAAAATACCCGATTCTGTGAGCACCAGAATGTGAGCTTGTCCCTTAAGTTAGAAAGCATGACTAAACAAGGAGTGTAGCTCCAAGGATTTCACCCAGATTTCTTTGTTAACTGAAAGGCGGGCGCCTGCTTATTCGCGGTTATATATGTTTGCTTCCCTAGGTACAGTGTATGGAACGCATGGGAGACGAGGCAGGCAAACCTACACCAGGTTCCAAACGCTAGAGTTAGAAAAAGAATTCCATTATAACAGATATTTAACCAGAAGGCGTCGGATTGAGATTGCAAACGCTCTTTGCCTTACTGAACGACAGATTAAAATCTGGTTTCAAAACAGGCGAATGAAATGGAAAAAGGAAAGCAAATTGATCAATTCCACCCAGCCTGGCGAAGAAGAAACAGAGGAAAAATCAGGGGAGTAAAATTATGTTTAAGAGAATAAACCATCTATTAGTAGCTTTTTCCTTCATCACCATGCCTCTCAGTTCACACACACACACACACACACACACACACACAGAGCGCTACAAATTTATTGGGTTATTATTCTTTTGTTGTTGTTGTTAGGCAGATATTTCCAAAGGCTTAATTAAAATATGAACATATTTATGTAGGTTTTTAGTAAACTGTGAATTTCTGTATCAGTAGAATTACTGACAGTAGAAAAGCTTAGTGATAGTCAGGTTTCCGCTCTGTAGATTAGATGCTTGAATGCTTCTGACAAGAGTAATGCCTTTATTTCCTTTAAAAAAAAAAATTAAGTGTTTGTATAAAACTACCATTTGATGTTCCAGTTTTCTCTGCATTAAAAAAGGTTCAGACCTGGATCCAGAGAGGGATCCTAGAAGGATAGGGAGCTTCTTCTGCATATTTTTTTTTTCTGCTAACCCACTTAAACAAATAGTTGCGCTTTGTTCTACTCCTTTTCATCTCAGACTTGAACCCATTTGTTTGGTAATAATGATTTCACTGGGACTTTATTTGAATGATATTGTACATGGCATCCTCATGCAGTTTAAAGAAAAAAGAAGGAAATGTTAACATGTATGCAAAATTCCCAATACATAATTAGGATTTTCAAAGATAATAGGTGGGATGGGAAATATAATTCAATGCCTTGCTGATTATCTGCTGTATATTTTTATTTTTCTAAAATATAGGAGTATAGCCTTTTCAAAAAATAATTAGCATTTCTAAAAGGGTAAAAATACTGTAAACTGGGTGGAAAAAAGGAGGACAAGACTTTTGTTGATGGGCAGATTACTAGAATCCATGTAATTATTTAATATAATTGATCAAGTATTTTCATTTTCTTCTTCTATTGACTTAGCTTTAAATTTCTTTATCCTGGTGTTGTGGGTGTGTTCTTTTTCCATTTTTTAATATTTTAAAGAAAGCAATATTTAGAGAAGATGCCCCAAATTTAAATAAGAATACAGCTATTTCATATTCTTTGTGTGCTAGTAAGTGTAGGTGAAGGCTTTATTTAATAGTAGCATGAAATTATATTAAAGTGCATTGGTGCCACTATGTACATATGGAAGCATGCATATTATATTTAAATAATGTGAAAAGCATAGCACTTGGACTGTGAATCTGAGTTGTAGTAATGATAACAAAAATGAGTAATTCACATTCTCCTAATTAAACAACACTACTATGTTTATATTTACAAGGTGGAGAAAATTTGCAAGCCCTTAAAATGTTCCTGAATTTTCTCTTTCAATGTGTCTCTTAAAAGCCCATGAAAGAAGTCTATTTAAAAAAAAATACTGCAAGAGATTTAAATTGAACATAAATTTAAAACTGGCACTGACTTTAAAAATATCTCAATCTCTCCTTCCTTTTGAAGTTGCTGCTCAATTACTATTATTACAGAGATTCATTATTTCTTATATGTACTGAATCAGGTTTTTAATTGTTAATTTGGGTCCCTAAGTTCCAGAGAAATCTATGCTGAATTAGTTTATCATATTATATATAATATAATATTTAAAAATAATATAAACCCCATTTTTGCTGGGGGGGTTTATATT